GAGGCGTCTGATGTACACCGGCAAGGGGGCGGTCACGTCATCCTTGACATAGAACCACTGCGAGTGCCACCCCTTATTGGAGGTTGACAAGCACATCAACGGGTTGTCGTTCGCCCAGGTGTTGTGCAGATGAATGCTGGCACAACCTATCGGCGTGCTCAGCTCCTGCTTCCCGACCCGCTTCTTCAACAGATTGACGGTGAAGAAGTGCCGCCACAGATCGAAGTGGGGACTAATCCCCAAGAACCCCTCGCGCAGGGCGACAAACGCCGCAATATGCTGGATCCCATTGGGATTAAGATGCTGCAACTCCACCTGGTAGTAATCCAACAACCCTCGAAGAAACTTATGGGCAGGAACGGTGAATCCCCGCTCATGGAAGAGAGCAAAGGACACGACATATCCTCGGGCGGCGATGGCTCGACCTCATCACCAGGCAGTAGCCACTCCACAAAGGCGGACAATGGGCGAAGGAGGCAGCGGCGGATGAGGCCCTCCAGGCACTGAGGGGTAATGTTGGATCTATACCACGACTCCATTGAAACGACGGGAAAGGGGGGGTGGATGCGAGCTCGATGATGGCTGCGATGCGGACGCGAGCTTGACGGGCGTGCCGTGATGTGAGTGCGGGAGGCTCTAGCGATTGGCGGCGGAGGTTGTGGATGCGAAGGCAAGGAGGCAAAGTATGGAACCCTGGGGGCAAACCTCGTGGTTTTATAGGGGCGACGGATGCGAGAAGGGCAACTGTCTGCCTTGATCTTCGAGCCTGCCACAACACACCGCCGCGTCACGTCGCGGGACACGCGCCAGCGATCCCTATCCTCTCCCACCAAAATCGCGCTGAAAGGTTCATCTTCCCGAGCGGATCAGACTCTTTTCCCACAGAGGGAACATGGGTCAGAAAACCTCCCCTCCGGCCTGTTTGGGCCCAGAAAGCCCAAGGGTCGGCCCAACAGTCTCGATGGCCATCCCAACAAGGGATAGGACCACGAGTGACTAAGACGTAGGTACGCGAGCATCAGTAGGGCCTCGTTCCATGGTCAAGCCCCAGCCAGGCAGACCCTGGACGAAATTCCCATGAATGGGATACCAGGGTTCCAAGCTTTCCAGTTGATGAAAACCGAGTCTCATAGCCTTACCTGTGAAGGGTCCGAAACACCCCCGGGCGGTTCTACCCAAATCGCCCGGTGGCTCGAGGGCTACACCCATTGGGTGCGCTCGCGCGCACCCTCTAGCGAATCGAAACACCCCCAGGCGATTCTGCCCGAATCACCCGGGGGCTTGGGGGCTACACCCATCGGGTGCGCTCGCGCGCACCCTCTAGCGAACCGAAACACCCCCCGAGCGATTCCGCCCAAATCACCCGGGGGCTCGGGGGCTACTGTTGGGTACCTAATCAGGTGGAGCCAATGACCATCGAACGTTGATACTTCCGATCAGACGAGAACGCTACTGCATTTCTTGTCCGAACGACGGAAGACTGGTTCCGCCTCATCCGACCTCCGAGGGCTGGGCTCTGCCTCGCCTGATGGCTAAGGGATGGCTTCGCTCGCCGACCCCTAAGGGTTGGCTCCGTCTCGCCCGACGTCCGAGGGCAGGCTCCGCCTCGCCCGACGTCCGAGGGCAGGTTCCGCCTCGCCCGACGGCTCGGGGCTGGCTCCACCTCACCGACCCCCGAGGGCGGGCTCTGCCTCATCCGACATCCAAGGGCGGGCCCCGCCTCATCCGACGGCTGAGGACAGGCTCTGCCTTACCCGACGGACCGGGGCGAGTCCGCCTCGCCCAATGATTACACCCTGCTCCTTCATAATGATGAGCACAAGGTATGACAGGACATTTAAGTCAAACACAGTACCAAAGACCATGCCCTGCACCGCTGCAGGAAAGTACCGTTAGGGTACGACGGGACGGGCGCTTTAGGCCATTCCGGACATGGCAGGGTCCAAATAGTGTTGTAGGAGCCGCCTTCAGCCCTCGGACATGGAACCTGACATAGACATACGACAACCACTACGGTCCAAGAAGAGACTCGCGCCCTCTATAGTGATGAACGCATATCATCATGCGCCGTCGCGCTCCCCGCAGGCTCTGAGTCAACACCCTTGTTCGACACGCCGCTCGAAGGGGCGGGACGGGACGTGACCACTTGCTGATCCGGTAAGGGCATGGCGTCGTCAGCACACAGGCATCTGGCGAACGTGCCAATCCCGACATCGTGTGGCCGTGTCAGCGAGGCTGGCTCAGCGGAAAAGGAGGGCCCAACGCCTTTGGAGGGGCTTCTTGGTCTCTGGTTTTTCTCCTTTCTCCAACATGTAACCCCTCTCCCCCTTGGTCTATAAAAGGAAGGCAGGGCACCCCGCTAAAGGGATGGATGAAACTAGCAGAGAGATCGATCGACACAACTCGACAGCACGCATCACATACAGCCGAGCTGCCACCGGGCTCTTGGCATCCTTTCGACCATTCCATCAGAGACTTGGGACCAGTCCCTCTCTCGACCGTTTGTACCCCCTACTATGAACTATTTTCGGTGCTAATAACACAAGCAGCAACAGACTGGACGTAGGGACATTCGGCCCGAACCAGTATAAACCTTGTATCCTTTAGCGCACCATCCGGGCCTAACACGCACAAATATAAATTTACTAGTTGGTGTTGATTCGAAACACCGACAGGAGGGTCGAGCGGCGAGCGGCCTTGTAGGAGGCGGCGGCGGGGGCGCCTGGACCGGCGTCCAGGAGTTTTCGAAGTAAGGCCGAGAGAGGGAGGGAACCTGCTGCGCGGCGTTAAGCCGGCCCTGCCAGCGTGCCGTGTGGCGTGGCGCGCCCAGATCGGTGGTGCGGCAGCCCGTCCACGTCAGCGGTCATCGCTGCGGCTGACTGCAACGGTGGCACCCTCGCCACGCCGCCATGTATGGTGCGGCAGCGTGATTTTGCCACGCCATGCGAATAAGCGCGGCCAAAAGTGTTAGATTTGAAAAAAATTAAACAATGTCTGATTTAAAAATAGTTTAAACAAAGTGTTAAAAAAAAAAAAATCGTTTCAAACAGCGCCCTTTGACTGCCATCGCCACCGCACCGCCCATTGGCCCATTGCCGGCCCGCAGCCTAGTCATGCGGCTTGTCGAGCTCGCCTCGCATGCCCGTGCGCCGCCCCAGCTCACCGGTGCGCGCGACCATGGAGGAGCGCCTCCCATGCTGCCCCTGCATTTGCCCCTGGGTGCGGCCATGGAGGAGTGAGAGAATCAGGTGAGTCCAAGTGGGAGAGAAAGAGGATAGGATATTTTGCATGCTACTGACGCCACACGGCAATTCTGGTCACATGGCTCCCCAGCTGTACCCCCCAAAAAAAGTTCTTCGACCGTTCTATCCCCCTCCGCTCCCCTCGCCGGCGCCGGCGCCGGCGCCGAGGAAGAGAGAACCCGCGCCTCTTCCTTCCCGACTCGACGAATCGATCCGCATCTAGCCCTAGGTGATCCGCGCCTCCTTCCGCCACAGCGGAACAGGACGCCTGGCCGTCGACCGTCGAAGCGATTCCTCTTTCGCTGGGGCGCAGGCGGGCGTCCTCGTATCGCCCTCCTCGCCTCCTCGGCGCGGGGAGGGGATCCGTCCGGGCTTCGATCGGTTGGTTCTCCGCCGGGTAAGGACTAAGGAACCCTAACTTGGCTTGTTGCTTGTATGGATTGTTTTTTTTCCTATGCTGCGACCGGTGAGAATCAAATCCAGAAGCTTAGTAAATTTTTGCGAAGAAATTAAAATTTGCATGCCAATTGAAGTTAGGGGCTGAACTGGATCCCCCACGGCTACACGTTCTTGGCTGTGCTCGTGATATATTGTTCTTGCGGTGCGGCAGCATCTTTTTCTTATGTAGTATATGATAGAGTTGCTCTATATGTGGACGTTACTAGTTTGGTACACAGTTAAAAGGCTGAAAGGATCAGTTTATGCTTTATTGCAGAATGCGACGAATTCTAGGTTTATGTTAAGTGGAATGTGTCTAGTTGTCCATGCCTGTTGTTGACCTATTTTGTGACAAATTGCTTATTGATTCATATGTAAATTGACCTATTTTTGCTTATTGATTCATCCATGCAAATTGACCTATTTCATGACAAATTGCTTATTAATTCGTCCATGCAAATTGACCTATTTCGTGACAAATTGCTTTATTAATTCATTAATTCATTGCTGATCACAAGTCTTCTTTCATCACAACTAGCACCACCAGTATTAGTTATTTCCCAAAATTTGGGGGTTTCAAATTAAGCCCCTGTGCCACATTTGATACTTTCACTCTTGACTGTTGACTTATTGATGAACAGTAATCTTTTTGGCTAATAATGCTTTAATAATCTTTTTTATCGGGATGGAAGCATATATATGAGGCACCTCTACTCTATTATTGTTTGTAATTACTCATTAATGAACTGTTTCTGGAATTTTTAGTGTCCATGTTATAATATTTTTTTGGTGAGTTGTATTGGATCCATGTATGTTTGGATCATTTGTAAAGCTATATTTGTGGTGTTCACATTAGTACATAACCTGATAACTGATGTGGCATACTCCAAACAATATTCTGTACTGTTCCTCTGTGTTTGTGCATGGTCCAGATCTGTGCATCAACCTTGTCACATCACTATGGTGAATGAGACTGTTTGAATCCTTCACCTTCGCACCTCGATAATGGCTGTGAATGATATCCAATACTTTTGCATGGTCTACGAAATCATTGGGCTTTGCATTATAGTATACGCTCTTTTATTGCCCTAGCCGCATTACCCCTATGGCTGAGCAAAATAATAGAGATAGGCACATTATTATCGATTATATGATGGAAATCTAGAATGTTAATGTTCCTTTATTTTTGCTCTATCAAACATTAATGGAGTGGAGTGGTATGACAATTTTTTTTGTTTATTGCTTTTGATGTTATCTTATGTTTCCAATTACTAAAGATTTCATTTCTGGATTGCCAGCTATTGAACTTGGAGTTAAACAATGGATTTGGAGACAGAGAGTCTTCTTGCTTCTTTACTACTTGAAGAGGCCCGGAGATTACAATTAGAGGCTAACAGGGAAGGTGTTCATGCATATCTGCGAAAACCTAATGTTAGGCATCGTCCAAACTCACGGTTCCTCACAGCCACAGTTCGTGGAGTTCAGAAAGGTTAGCGATGTGCAGTGCTGCCAGTGCATCATTGTCGTCACTTGTCACTTGTTTTCTATATTTTCTATTTTCTTTGAGTAGATCTTGTAGAACAAATCAACTTTGAAAAACAGTTGAGTCATGTAATCCTGTATAAACTTGGCTCTTGTGAGTATATTGACCTATGTTCTTATGTAAAAGGTATACTGGTCTCACGTCACTAAGTTTTTAATGACATAACTAATCAACGTTACAAAAACATGTTAAGCCGTTTAATCCTTCTTGTGACTATTGACCTTACATTCTTTGGAAAAAGTATACTGGCCCTATGTCACTATTTTTTTAATGACATCAAGTAGCACTTTCATATTTTGTTCTGAATTGAAATACACTGTTTGTCCTGCAGCAAATCGTGTTGTGGAGGTCAATGAAATGTGGCGTGCCAGGGAAAAGGAACTGTAGTTGGAGTAAAAAATGAAAGGCAGAAGTAGCAGAAGTAAAGATTGTGATGATTTTAGAGTAGGTGAGAAGCGCAAAAGTGAAGTGAGAAACCATAGCTTCCAGCTCAAGGGTTGAACAAGAAGGGACCACATAATAATTCGCACTCAGACCTGGAGGATGGTCTCAGAGATGATGAAATTGAAAGATTTCTTCATTCAAGGTTAGTTAGAATATTCATTCATTTATTCTTTTATGTGAGAAATAGCCATTTCTTTCTTCTTGTAACACCTGGAATATATAACTAAATATTATCTTTACTCCAGTTCTTATATGAAAAATCACATGATCTGTGTATCTCTTCGATAGTACCACATTATTCTATCGATAAGTGCTGGTATCCTATTATGTGGCATATTGAAATTTGTTTATGCTACAAACCTTTCCATCTGTTAACTATTTCCCTGGTGTTAACATATCAGCAATTGTTGCTAATATATTTACTGCTGCTGTTCTGTTAGGGCGAAGCGAGGACGTGGGGCCGTTGGTTCTTGGATGGACGAGCCTGGTCCATACCTTGATTCTTTGTCCCGTCATCAGGACAACGGACCTAGTCCTGACATACGTGTGGAAGGAAAATGGGAACGCAGAGTACAAGGCCCAGAGAAGCCTTCATTTTTGGGATGTAAGTCTCTTGATGATCTTTGGCACAAGGACACTTTGGATGGGAGGCCATCAAGCTCTGAACCACAGAGCAAAAAAGAAAAGAAAAGTAAGTCGGAGAAAAAAGATAAGATAAAGAAAAAGAAGGAAAAGGATAAGAAGAAATCCAAACATCGCCTCCACCACCATCACAGAAGCAGCAGGAGTGAATGAGTGATGCTGCCTGTTAGCAGAACAGAAAAATGTAGACAATGCTTCTGCCCTGAGATAAGCTTGCCGACTGTTGCTGTAACTTGAAACCTGTATTGTATGGAAAACTCGATATTGTGTAGAATGGACTATGGTTCTTATAATACAATGTTGTGATGTCACATCGTTTGTTGAAGATTTTTGTCACTTTGAAGTAGCATGATTAACATCTGCAACAAGAGTTGTTCTTTTTTTTTCTTTTTCCTACTAACATTGGGCGTTTAGTATTGGAGTTGGAGGAGCCTGCTCTTCAAGCAGGACAGTCTGTCAGTTGGGTAGAAAAAAGTCTACATAACCCCTTAGCTATCCAGGGTCGACTACTTCACCCTCAAACTATAAAACCAGATATTCTACCTCCTAAACTTTTCAAAACCGGTCAAATAATCCCCCAAGCGTTTTTCGATGGTGGTTTTACCACCGTGGCTGCTGACATGGACGATGACTGCTGACATGGACGACAACGTGGTTTTATCCCTCTCTCTTCTCTCCCCACTCCCTCCCGCCAGTGCCCCCTCCCCTCACCTCTCCCCCACTCTCCCGTGCCTCCCTCTCAATCTCCCCTCCCTCACCAACAGCCGATCTGGAGGGGTAAAGTAAAATTTGCCCCTAAGGGCACATGTTGTGTTGTTGTGGACCACAAGATTCACACTGAGATTCGTGCCCAGCAGGAGAGAGACAATATCGTGCCCAGCAGGAGAGAATATTGTCTCTCCTGCTGGGCACGAATCTCAGTGCAAATCTTGTGGTCTAAAATAGCAGGGCATGTGCCCTTAGGGGCAAAAAAACCGCGTTCGATCTGGAGGAGCTCGCAGGCGTGGCGACCTGGCGGCGGGCGGTGTGGGCAAGGCGGGTGCGCCCCGAGGCCCGGCTGAGGCGGCTGTGCGGGCGCGGGCCCGGCCGGGGCGGTGGCGCCTCTTCCCTCGAGCTCCTCCACCGGTGGCGCTGGCTCCTTCACTGTCGTCCCTCTCTGCGCCACCACCGACCGCTCTAGCTCGTTGGCAAAATTCGCCGCGGTTGCTCCACCTCTGCCCAATTGCTCGCGTCTCTAGCTTCGTCTCGTCCTTGCGTCTCATTTGAGCTCGGTTGCGTCGTCTCTTGTTGCCAGAGTCGTCCTTGTCGCCGGTTCCCGCCGCCGCAGTTCGCCATGGCCGCCGCAATCTCCTCACCGTGGCCAGCTCTCTCCGGTGAACGTGTCGCCCTCTCGTCTTTAGTTTTGGTTTCGTCTCGATTCCGTGTTGCTCATAGGCTTGTCCGTTTGGTCGCTGGAGCCCAGGACACGCCGGAACGCCGCCTCGACCACCGGTTCGCGCCGCCGTCTTCGCCCTCAACATCGGCAGCCCTCTTCGCTTCGTCTCTGCCTCAGCCGTGTAGTCGAGCAAGTCGCTGTGAGCTCCGCTGAGCAAACCCTAACCCTAGCTAGGCCGTCCGAGCGCATGGGCACAGAGGATAGAGGAGAGGAGAGAGAGAGAGAGAGAGAGGGGTGGTTGACATGTGGGTCATCGCCACGTCGTCGTCCATGTCAGCAGCCACGGTGGCAAAACCACTATCGAAAACAGCTTGGGGGGTTATTTGAACAGTTTTGGAAAGTTCAGGGGGCAGAATATCTGGTTTTATAGTTTGGGGTTAAGTAGTCGACCATGGATAGTTAGGGGGTTATGTAGACTTTTACCATTGGGGTATGTAGCTGAATAAACCTGTATGTGAATGAGTAGACCATCAATAGCTTATAGACATTAGTGCACATTTTCAAGGAGTTGTCAGCCATCGAGCATTGATGACTGAGCTGAAAGACAAATTATTATGATATCTTATAGTTCCGACCAAAATGGACCTAAAATTCACAACGTGGGCCATTCTCCATTGAATTTGTTTAAACCCAAGAATTCATATTGTTCATCAACATGAATCAATTACTTATAGGCTTTTTGAAACTTCTGCCTTTTCCAAATTTTGAACCAATCTTTCAGAATTCAGGTAGGTGCTTATATGTAGTGTCTTCTTCAGGAATAGTTCGGGGAATCCAGAGCGTTTGTTGTTACTGCTAACAAGCAATGGTATTTGGAGAATTGGAGCCAGTGTGGCGGCTCCAGGAAAAGATGTCGTCACACCATTTTCAAGAATAAAAAATATTAAATATGAAAAAGTCAATTTTGAAATTATTTTACAGGACTATCTATGCCACTGAAAGTGCATCACATATTTGTTCTTGGGTGATTGCACAAACACTTTCAACATTGCCACACACTCCAAATTCCTAGAAACAAAAGAAAGTCATCCTCAACTTCTGAAGGCTGAAGCCACCATGCAATCTATGGTCTCTGTACAACATAATGCCGTGTATGAATGTACATGTACTGGAAAGAAAAATATACTATCTGGCTATCTGCGAGACTGCAACAAGGGATAGATCATTAGATAAAAGTTGTAAAGAAGACTTAACTAGCAACATGTTGAAAGAAACATAGTGCCTTCGTGTTGACATTATTGACACGCAAACAGCACAGTGAAACGAAATTTGTTGTTAATAAAGAATGCTCAAGCTAATGAAGACTTCTTTTCATACAACCATACAGAATGCCCTCGACAGTAGCAAAATCCATCAAATTCACAACTGATGCTGTATCAAATATTCAAATATAAAGATGGGCTCTGGCGCTCAGCACAAATGTTGAAAACTAGTTTATATTCAGGAGTAGCTATTTCAGCTTCTTCCACTGAAAGTCAGAGGAAGTAAGTGTTCATTGAGGTCAATCAGGATTCATGAAGAGACATTGAAAATTTGCTGCAGATTTTCTTAAAATATGCTCTTTGCCTCTTTGTAACTTTGCATATTTTTCTCTGTTTTTTTTTTGTTCTTTTAGGGATCTTTGTAACTTTGTTTCTCTGTTCTTTTTTGTTCGATCCCTCCTGTTTTCTAAGAAAAAAGAGGCATTAAATAGAAAATGTTTGCTTTTTTCAAGGAACAAAAAAAATTGGCATTGTTTAGCCACGGAAGCTTAGTAGGAGTAGCTATTGCAAATCAAAGCCAAAATTTAGTTCGCATCCAATGCAGATAAAAAAATTAAGCACCTATGAATATTTCCCCATAGATATTTGCTTCCCCACTTCTAAGTACTTTGTATATTAGTACTATACGATAATACCAACTAACGAAAACATTTAAAATGTCAGGATATATAAACAACAGATCAGCTAATAAGCCGGCCGAATAGCTTAGCCGATAACGAATGGACCGATCTCACCGCCGCGCATGCCGCGGCCGACCTCGCTGGCGATGATCATCAAGCAGGTGGACACCCAGCCGGCGAGCACCGCCCACACCATGTCGAGGATGCAGGCCGCCCCCTGCAATCCGAAAGAACCAACAAAGCAACCACGGTTGTCGGCATATAATGCGGCTCGCGTGCTTCGTCCGCCACGCTGGCGCTGCCACGTCACCTGAAGGCCGGGCCGGATGGGAAATGGACCTGCGGTGAACAACTTCACAAGTTCAGAGGCTCATTTTTCACATTTGCAAGTTCGTGGACTGGATTGGCACAGGCCGACAAGTTAAAGGACCGCCAATGTATTTCACTCTTCTCTTTATTTTCGTGCTTCGCCAGGTTAGCTTACGCAAATGCTTACGCCAACCATTCCTGGTCTATCTCCTCACCAACCATTCGTTAACCCGATGTCAACTTTGTCGTTGCCCGGCCCCAAGCCTCCACACATGCATCCCTGAATCGCAGATGCGATTGCCGTCTACGTTTATTGACCCGATTTGCCGTCTACGCCATTCAGCCAATAATGGCGTGCTGTCTGTGACGGCCGATGGCGACGCCGCAGCGGCACCGAAAAGCACACACAGCCAATACTAGCCTGTCAGCCGGCGGCGAGTTCTCTTTGCGTGCTTCGCCCGGTTAGCTTATGCTTATCCACGCGCTGGGCTTGAGAAGAAGCTTCCATTCCAGTCCAGTCCCAGAGCCCCCTTCCTTGCGCTCCCTCGGGCCGGTACCAATATTGTCATCACGGTAGTTGAAGAATGAAGAGCATCTGATACTGACAGAGTTATTAATTAAGTCGGAAGGAGTTGACCAACACAACAACAAGCTAAAGCAATGTATATACTAGGATTAGGGCATTAATAAAGCCAGGAAAGGTACCGGAGGCTTGAACAGGGGGACAGCACCATTCCTGGTCAACTGATGGAGTGATATGATCCGGAAGGCCACTACGTACACCCATTCCTGATTAGCCGCCAGGGAACCTTGCTAATGTCAACTTTGTTGTTGCCCCAAGCCCCCACCCATCCCTGAATCGCAGATGCGATTGCCGTCTCCAAATTGACCCCATCTGTGTCGTGGGCGAGGAAGGAACTGGTGGTGCTGGATCTTTGATTGGGAAATGGGGGTGTGGTCTGCTACTCAGGGCGTTGATTGCAGTTTGGTGTGTGGGTAGCACTGGGGCACAATGGCGGCGGCGGCGTCAGACTGGGGATATAAGTTTTAGCAAATGACATACAAAAGTGTCCCTTCTATTTTCTACATTTATTCCCCATTTTGTATTTGCGAAAAATGCAAATGGGATGATGTGTATCCGTACGTTCAACGAGAAGGCTAGATAGTCCTAATTAATAAAGCTGGGGGTGGGAGGTTCTATTTTGAAGAATAATAAGTAAGAAGAAAAGACGAGTAAAGCATGAACTTTGGAAATAACTCAGACAGCCAACTAGATAGTTTGTGGAATCATCCTTTGTACATGATATAGTCATATTTATATTGTATATTTAATGAAATATGGGATAAACCTTAGAAATTCTATTGCAAAAACCTTTTTCTAAAATAAACAATTACTCTCTCCATTCCAAATTATAAGATGTTTCTGAAATAACATTTACAGCTAGAACAAATCAAGAGAATGGCTGACATATTTCTCACTCATAAAACCCCCATGCCGAGCAAGGAATACTTCAAATTCTCTCTTCA